AGTCGACAAATTGAAGCACCCTGAGTTATACCATGTTGATCCCGACTTGTCTGAGGATGGCCTTGCAGCGCGGCACAAGGTTATCGCTGACCACGTCCAATCAGTGAAGAGCTCGACGTTAACGTCCGAGACGGCAAAGTCTCTCTCTAGACTGCGCGCACTGGTGCTGACGTTCCTTAACTCCTCCATGGTGGACTCCCTGCGGAGGTTATTCTCCAACATTGCTTGCCCTTTACTCTTTATGAGTCTATTGTGTCACGATTTGAAAATGATCCTCTGACTAGCGATCCTGCGGTACTTAATGCACAGTGGCAGAAGGACAAGTACGGCGACTGCTTGGACACCTTACTGCCGACGTTAAGTCCATCGCCAGCCAGTACCGCACGGCCATCCCATCCTCGTTGGAGATCACTGCGGCGGAGTATGGCGCCTTTCTATGGGCTAACCATTATATGGTGAAACTGTCGGACGTATTTTTGGACGACAAACAAATTTGGGATCTCATCCGAGTTATTTCTAGCAATGCCAAGGCCTCCGGACAACCATGCTCTGTCGCGGCTATCGACGCCGCCATCAAGGATGCCCTAGCAACGCGTCACCTGCGTTCACATGCTCTTGGTGAGCATGGGACAGCCGACTCCGCTCCTACCCGATCGCATCTGATCAATGCCGTCGTCGTTGATGCTACTGCCAGTCCCGTTGGTCTAGTTTCGACACGGATGCTACCCTCGTATGCTCACCCCAAGTGTCATTCCCACTCTGGCCCAGCGTGCTTTTATTGTGGTGAACCCACTCATGTCCTGACCAATTGCAAACTTCTGGCCTCAGATTATTCGCGTGGTACCAAACGCGACGGTTTTCCGCAAGAAGTGTTTGAAAAACACGGCCAGAAGTCCGCACGACGTTTGACGTCTCGCAAAATTCGCGATGATCATCCTCGTCGTGACGACTACGACCGTGACAACGGCGATGACCGCGGTGGCGGAAGTGCAGGCACCCCTCGCGAATGAGGTCGTGGCCCCCCGTCGAAGCGCGATCCTCCTCGCAGTCGTAGTCGCAACCGCGGTGGAGATGACCGCAATTGCACTTGGCGCGATGAAGGCTATCGAGGCCGTAGCCGCCGAGGCGTTTCACCGACATCACACTCTAGTAGTCCACGTCGTACTCAAGTTACGCTCAACTCCTCTAGCCA